CGCATTAGAAGTTGTTTAGCTGGGGATAAGTAGGAAGGCAAACTCTAACTTCCTAGGAAGGAAATTCGTCTTGCTTGTATGGTTCACTAAATTTAGTAATAATGCTCTTTAAATAATTATAAGACATCATGGTCTTTTGTTAGATAACATTTCCTTGGTTTAAAAATTCGAGGCCCAAATTCACCGCCGACTCCACTAAGATTCACATTTTGTGTTGCTTTTCCACGGTGGGGGTGAAATGGCGACTTGTGAGATAAGAAAAGAAATGAAAAGGTCAACACTTAGTCAACCGGACTGGAATAGGGTCAGGCGTCTAGGTCATATTGACAAGAGGCTTTCTTTTTTTCTTTCTTTGTTTTTTTTTTTTGACCAAATACAGGAGGCTTTCAGATGATAGAAGTTACCTTTTATGGTAACAATTTTTTTTTTTTGAAGATTTGGTACGTGAACTTGGGATAAGTAAACTTTAGTAATATTTTGATGTTGTTGGATGTGGTGATAATTTTGTTTTAAAAATGGTTTAATATATTATAGAGGGAACCGCAATAAAGGCCCTCAGAGTAAACATAATTATAGAGAAAGTCTAAATAATTTTGATATATCTCTAAAGGCCCAAGGCTCTTATTTGCGATTATGTTCAATGCTGCAATGATCCAATTACCCCCGTACATTCAGGTTACTAATCAACTTTGCATTTTCTTTCCTCTCTTTTTCTTCCTTAGGCTTCCTTCTTTTCCTTTCTCTTTCATACTGATTCCCTATTGTTTTTTAAATAATTTCCTAGTAAAGATGGTGCTTATGGCAATGGAACGGAGGGCAAATATGATATCTTGCATTCTTTCATTGATATAGCCATGAGTCATTGTTAGTTGCCGCTGTGGGTAGCTAATAGCAAACTTGTCGTTGCCGCCACAAGCCATCGCATAAAAGTGGATCGTGTCTTGTTCTACACTATTAGAATTCCCACAAATATAATACATTTGATTGTAATCATATTTCTGCAGTACCATCACACTAGATTCTCTAAAGAACATTGTATCGTCATCTTTTTACACTTCCTAGACTATGCTTCTTTCCCTTCCTTTTATTTTGTTGCAAAATATTTCATTGACCAAGGACTGTGTATCTAAGTAGACATTTTGTTTTTAATAAATGGATTATAAATGTTATTTATGGACTTTTTGTTGTAAATTTCAAATGGGTTTACTTGTAAATTTCATCTTGCAAATTTCAAGTAGGACATAGTTGTTGATTTAATGAAAATAAATTGTTATTTATGAACTTTTTGTTATTTCTGATATAGATTTTTATGAAATTTATGTTGTTATTTACGGAGTTTACATTGTGAAAACTTTGCAATTAACTTGTGTAAAGGTTTATATGTATCATATAAATAGACCTTGTGTTGTAAATATAAAGACCTATTGTTGTTATTTATTGATATTCTATTGTGGATTAGTTAATTACAGTACTCAATGAATTAGATTATAGGGATGATGTCTTCTACATTTTACTATACAATAGCATTTCTTGGAACTTCAATTTCTGATCTTCTAATAGTCAAAGCATTGGATTATGTGTTGTGAAAATATGAACATTTTTTTGTTAATATTGGATATTCATTTATGATTTCAATTGTAAATTATCTAGATATGATGTATTAGTTCCTAAAAATTTAATGAAAACATATTGTTAATAATATATAAGGACCTTGTACAGATATTCATGTGTGCCATATAAAAAGACCTTGTGTTGTTAATATGTGGAACAAGACAGACCATGTGAAATATATGAACACTATATTATTAATCAATGAGCCTTGTCATGTTATATACGGACTTTCTGTTATTCATAAACTTAAAAAACTTTTGCAAATATTCAACTTAACAACATAGACCATATGAAATAGATAGACATTGTGTTGTTAACAAATGAATACTTTCATGATAGACATTGTGTTGTTAACATTGTATTGTGTATAGTAGATATTGTGTTGCACATTATTTGCCTAACTTATACATTTTGTTAAGCCTAGTCTACTGATTAATTAGACACATATGAACTTTCAGTTGAAAATATATAACATTGTATTGTGCATAGTAGACATTGTGTTGTACATTATTGCGCAGGTTGTGTTTTAAAATCATAAGGTCAAAATCATACTTTTAATTTCAAGAAAAATTATAACAAGGGCCCTTGGACTTGCAGTGTAATATTAAAATTTTTCAAGCCCAAAATACACTAATATGTCTTTTTAAAGCTCTTAGTGTGATTTCCTCAAATTTTTACTCCATGAGAAATTAAGGCTCACATTTTCCTCTCAATTAGAGAAATAAATCATTGAGGAATACTTAGATAAGTTTCACTTTCTTAATATTTTGTCAAGTCAAAAAATAATATATTTTTAATATAAATAATTTTTAATTTATGATATAAACAAAATTAATTAAGTAAATTATATATTAAATTCCTAGAAAGTATACTTTTTATAAGCTACTCTCTCTGTTCAAAAATATAAGGCATTTTTTAAGGAGTTAGATATTAAAAAATGTAAGGCATTTTTAGTCTTTTGAGATATAATCATTATTTTTTTTCAAAAGTGTTCCTATTGATAGTGACTTTATATTTATTATAGGATATTTAATAGGCATAAATATAAAAAGATAGGATTAGTTTGAAAGTAGATAACTATTTTATTGGAGGTAAGATTCAGTTAAAAATGATTTACATTTTTTAATGTAAGGAGTAACTTCCAAGAAATGATGCAAAGGAACCAAAAAGTTCTTAAGGCCTTGTTTGATATGCAGATATCAATTTAAAGGGATTGAAATTGGAATTAGGATTAGGATTGGAATTGGGATTGAGAATGAGAGTGGGAATGAAGTTTTAAAATTATATTTGGTATGGAGTATATTAGGAGGGAATACTTACTTTTATTTTATTTTATAATTAAACAAAAATATAAAAATACTATATTACCCCTCAACATATAAATTGAATATTTATGTCATTATCATCACAACACTTTCCTCCTCGTAAAATAGAATGTCTATGGCTGCAGAAGAAATGCTTCCACTGGTTATCCTCTTCGTCTTCTTCCTTTTCTTTCTTCTTCTTGTTGCTCTTCTCCCTTAAAAAGAACATCCATGCTACACAAGAGAACCTCGCTGCCGCCCTCTCCTCTGTTTTTTTTCTCTTCTGGTTTGAATTAAGAAATGAGAATGACGAAGATGTAAACGACGGCAAGTCATTGATGGTGGCAAGATCTAGTGGCTGTAGCTTGAGCTCAGACTAATTATGCACATGAGGTTGTTGATTGTTCTCCTCCTTCTCTCATCTTCGATGTCCTCCTTCTCCCTATAGATCTGGTAATGACGTCGGTGGTAGAGAGACTGGTAACGGCAAAGGAGACACCGGCATTGCTTGGTTTGAAAGGAGGGCAAGGGCTGAGAGACAACATGGAGACAAAGGAGGAGTGGGCAGAGGGAAGGAGATCATGGAGAGATAATGAGGATAATTTGGTCTAAAAATAATCAATCCTGAGATTGATTTTCTAGTTCCATAGGGGTAGTGGTATTGAGTAATCTTACCTAGATGAGATTGGTATTGGGATTAAATTTTTCATTCTGTTATACCAAATATGAAAAGATAGGATCATCTAATACCAATTCCAATCCCACTTTTTCATTCCTTCCTACCAAACATAGCCTAAGGTTTTTTGTTTTTCTTGATACAGAGTCCTTGGGGCTATTATTTTTACTAGGGCTTGTTTGGGCCAATAAGTGTTGTTTGGGCCAATACAATGGAATTGCCAACTTTGCAAGTTAGCCACAACGCCAAAGATTTCCCCCCTCAATGTAGAGCAAACTTAGTGTTAAGATTTAAGAATGTCAATATCTAAATAAATAATTTAAGAATATTGTGCTAAGATTACTAAAATTTAAATAAAAAATAAACATAAATCCTTATTTCATTAAGTTTTTCTATGTGCGAAATCTTTTTTTAGCAAATTTATATATTTAAATTTTTAAAAATTATTAAATAAATAAATTGACATAATTAAATATGAATTAACAAAAGTAAAAAATGCATTAAATTTGTCTTTGGGTAACTTGAATAAATTTTAGGCAATATCTATGCTCAAAGCGAGGTATTTTAATTAAATATATGTAACTTAATAGTCAATTAATGATTAGGTGAATAAAAAATAAAATTTTAAAAGTAAAAAAGATATTTATGTTTTGTCACTATTAATTTTAAAAGAAGTTTGTATATATTTTAAAAATAGAATAGAAGTATACATAATTAAGATAGAATAAACAGAATCTACATGCATTTTATTTACAACTAATTAACATCAAATCCCAATTTTCGATGCTTCAAAGAAAAAAAATCAGATACCTAAAAAGTCACTTCCACTGTCCATATTGTTCACTTTGGTCTTTATTTAAGTATTATGTAATATCGCTAACAAATGGGAAAATAAAATTACATCTCTAAATATTGCAGCGGGCCAAAAAATATAAATCTAACCACTACCGTAAAAGATGAAATGTGTGAGTAAATGATCTATCATTTAAATTTAGATCTTTTGTTGTAATGTTTAGTTTCCATTTATTTATTATTTATTTATATTTTATGTCTTATTTACAATTATAATTTTGTAAATTTATAATTATTTAATTTTATATTTACAATGTACTTTAAATTTTTTTTATGAAAAATGATATTATTAATTTTACCCTTAGAAACTTAACTATCATCCTCCCAAAATTTTAACTTTTAAGCAAATTCTTCAACATTATTGTTAATTGTATTTCTCTGGCCCCAAAAAAAAAAAAAAGAAAAATGTTAATGGTATTTCCATGAAAATGGAGGAGCGCGTATTATCCTGTAGAAGCTACTAGAAGAGCCTCGCGACGCAAAGTGTGAGTGCCTGTTAGTGTGCTGCGGGTCGTCGAGCGCTCATAAAAGGGGGGAAAGCAGAGGGCTTTTACGATTTGTGAATGATACTCAATTTGATGTTCTTTCTTTGTCCTTGCTTCTTGCTCAGAGATTAGGAACGCTTAATCCAATGGACGCTTCTAAGATCCGTCAATTGGAGCTCTTCATTGAGCAGTGCAAGTCTAATCCTTCAATCCTCAGCGATCCTTCTCTCTTTTTTTTCCGCGATTATCTCGAAAGGTACAGAAATTTCTCTGATTCATTCCTATTTGATCATTATATTCCTGGTGAGGATGCTGTTTTTATTTTTATTTTTTTGTTTTTCTTATTCATTTCAGTCTCGGCGCTAAGCTCCCTTCTTCTGCTTACTCCAATGCGGTAATCTAATTTTCTTGAATCTTAGTTTCTTTATATTTAAATTGCGTGCGGATATGAATATTGATTTGTGTCCTTTTTCGGTTGAAGAGGAGTGAAGATAGCGATGATGACGTTGAAGATGTTGCGGGCGGACAAAGCAAGGTGGAGGAAGAGGAAGAGGAAGACGAGATAATCGAATCCGATATTGAGCTGGAGGGTGAAACCGTTGAGCCAGATAATGATCCTCCACAAAAGGTTTTTCTATGAATACTCTTTCCACTTATTTATTGAGTTGTATTTCGTCTTTTTTCAATTCATTAGATGAACATATGTTATATTGCAGATGGGAGATCCCTCTGTCGAGGTGACTGAAGAGAGTCGTGATGCTTCCCAAGCAGCCAAAGCTAAAGCTGTTGAGGCCATTTCAGATGGTACTATCTATTTGTTTGTGAGGTGACTGATACGGTACATTTGCAAATATATATATGATTTTGTTTATTTATTTTGAAATGTAGGTAAGTTGGAAGAGGCAATTGATAATTTGACGGAGGCAATTACACTCAACCCTACCTCCGCCATTATGTATGCTACCAGAGGTATAGTTTGATTTGAAATTCTTTTTGCTAGAGTATCGTTATCAGCTAAAATTGAATGCTCATTGGCTATTTTTCAATGATCATCTGCAGCTACGGTTTACATCAAAATGAAGAAACCTAATGCTGCAATCCGAGATGCAAATGCGGCTTTGGAGGTTATACTCTCCTAGTTCGCTGTTGTTTTTGATAATTTTTAGGATCTTTGAGCATACATTATAACATCTATATAAGCTGGAAAAAGATCGTGCTAATTTAGTTTTACTGATTACAATAGTAGTTTAAATCTATGTTATTATCACTGAGTACGAGGACTAATATATTACATATTAAAAAATCTGCATGTTTCAGATTAATCCTGATTCTGCTAAAGGCTATAAGTCTCGAGGTATTGCCCGAGCAATGCTTGGTCAGTGGGAAGAAGCTGCACAGGATCTTCACCTGGCTTCGAAGTTAGATTATGATGAGGAAATAAATGCTGTACTAAAGAAGGTTTGATCCCTCTCTTTTCTGGGTGACATGTAATTAACTGATATGATTCTAAAGCTTGATGTGCACTACTGAAGTTCTATTTTTGGTTTAATGAAAGCCCACACACATGTATGTGAATCCCCTTACATCTTCGCTTAAAATGTCAGGATGCTGTGATGATCCGTAAATAATCAAAACAATGTTGATAGATGTTTAATATTTTTTTTAAAGATGGAAATAGGCTAATAGAAGTCCTAGAAATGGTTAAAACTTAGTATAAAAAAAAAAAAAGAAATGATTAAAACTTATGGCTAATTGTCTCTGTGCGTTTATATCTTTGTGGATGACGATGCCTCAATTCGTTGTCCCATTGATGTAAGTTTGTATTGAAAATGAAGTGCAGTAACGAAGAAGTAACATGAGGGGAATGGAAATGGCCTCCTGGAGGTGGAAAAAAGACTTGGATCTCAGGCCGTTTGATATGTTCAAAAGTGAATAAATATTTATGCATAAGGAGAGTCAATTAGGTTTGAGTGTGAATTGAGGGGAAAGAAGAAGGCTTTATGTTACAATTAACGTAGTTATTTGGAAATATAAATACGTATAAAGATAGCTTGATGTTGAAAATGGATACAGTTAAGTTGTGCAAACTAGAGGTTGTCTAATCTCTCCCAATTGTTGTTGTACTTCCTACCCACCCTCTCTATATAAGCACCAATGCCTGAATGATTGGAGTTGGAAGGTTGTATAGTGGTGCAGCAAGTTTACTTTTTAAATTTTTCTTTTATCTTTTTGGCACTTTATTATTTTAACAAAATTCAAGGATGAAGAATAGGGTTGTTTAAATGGTTGGGCATTTTTTTAATCTCGTTGCTTTGTATTGATTATGTAGGTGGAGCCAAATGCTCACAAGATTGAGGAGCATCGTCGGAAATATGACAGGCTGAGGAAGGAAAGAGAGGATAAAAAACATGAGCGTGAGAGACAGCGCCGCCGTGCTGAAGCTCAGGTTTGTAATTTTAGTATAAATAGCAGCTGAAATGCTATCAATTTCCTTATACTTAAGCTTTTCCTGTTCATATTGTTCTAGGCTGCATATGAGAAGGCTAAGAAGCAAGAGCAATCATCTTCCAGCAGAAATCCTGGAGGCATGCCGGAGGGCTTTCCAGCTGGCATGGGGGGAGGTTTTCCTGGAGGCATGCCAGGAGTGGGAGGCTTTCCTGGAGCTGGAGGCATGCCTGGAGGCTTCCCTGGTGGCATGCCAGGAGGGGTGCCTGGAAATGTTGATTTTAGCAAAATCTTGAATGTAAGTTGAACTGGACTTGGTTTGTTCTCAGGCTTTTCTGGTGGTTGGTTTAACTTGATATGTTTTAGTCCTCTGACACATGCAAGTCTGATAGAAAATGATTGTGTTCTAGGCGTGTCTTTGTATTTTATAGCAATGTTTTCTCATTGTTTATTGTAGCTTCAATAGTAATCGTTTCTTGACTTGTTTCAGGATCCGGAGCTGATGGGGGCTTTTAGTGATCCGGAGGTCATGGCTGCTTTACAAGATGGTAAGTAATAAACTATTATGACGAATTTAGTTTAATCTCTTCTTTGTGGTAATTTGATATTTTTATATCCCGTTTGATAAGTATTTAAACATTAGATTTCATAATCTGCTTATTTAATTGAAAACTAAGATCCATGTGCTACTTTTTTTGGCGTTAGATAATTGCTCTTAAGTTCCATGTTTTGGATTTGACGTTGGATCGTCTGCTGCTGCTTTTAATTGGTTTGGATGGGTTGTTATTATAGTGAATCCAAAATGCTGGAGGTGCTTAGTACATGAAGCAATGGAATTTTTGTCGCACCCTGCATTTGAAACCATAAAAATCTGTTCTGAAATTGATGTTTTTATCATTTTTGTTTGCAAATCTATGTTCCCTTGCCTATCTACCCAGTAATCAGAAAATATAGTGTATTTTTTCCTTCTTTTTCTAGATTTAGTGTCTGGATTCGGAACGTATTGTACCCTTTCTTGTCCTGGGTCTTGTGGATTTTCTGGTAGCTAGTTCTTAATGATAATTGGTTCTATTATCATTTAACTTCAATTTTCCTTCTTGGTTGCCTTTTTGGGCTTGGTTACAGTCATGAAGAACCCAGCCAATTTGGCAAAGCATCAGGCAAATCCCAAGGTGGCTCCAGTAATTGCAAAAATGATGAACAAATTTGGAGGCCCTAAGTAAACAAACAATTTGGCGGAACTGGTGACTATTTCAGGCTTGTGACGATACAGAATGTTTGTTTTTTCTCCCCCGCTATTTTTCGTTTGAAGCTGTGTTAGATTTTGTTCGAAGCTTTCCTTTGTCTGTCTGTAGCCAATGTTTTCCTCTCATCTATTCGGTTTTCCAATCTCTTGGACTGTCGATTAAAGATGTAAGTTAACTTCCTTTTGTTACCTGGACTGAACTTTTGCTTGTCACAATAAAAAAAAAAAAAAAGTACTTTCATTCCAAATTGTGATTCTGAACTAACTAAAACGCCTGTCATCTTAGAATACTTTAGATGGTACTGTTGAAATATAGGGTAGGAGGCAATCGTTCGAAATTCTCCTGGTGCCCTTGGTTACGTTCTTGAGCTGTGCCAGCATGTTTCTGTCACGATCCTGAATCAAGATTGTGGACACGTCTATTTGTGTTGTGATAAGATTGTGCGTGGGTGTGCTTGTATCATTAAATTAAATTTGAGGGAAATCTATTTTTAAGATTTTGTATAACGTAATGAAAATATTGGTTTACACGCGCACATTTGTAAATATAATTTTCTATACTTGGTTTGAATGGAAAGGTGAAAAGAGTTATTTGTGAATGGAAGGTATTTAATAAATTTAAATAAAAATTTTATTAAAATGTGTGAACACCTCATATTATTCGGGCTTGTACAAAAAATAAATGAATAAATAAAAATATTTAAAACCTTTTTATTTAAGAGAATAACAAAAATAAAATTACTAAATAAAAATTTAATGAAAAAGTTTTTAAATTTGTATTTTGATATGAGTATTCAATTAAAGAAAGTTAAATGAAAATTTAATTTTAAATTTTTACGTTGATTTGAAATGATGAAAGTTAGATAAATTTAATTATAAATTATGATTTGATGGGATTTAATTATAAAAGTTTTAATTTTCATCTGTTAAAAAAAAGGGAAAAGTGATGAATTAAGGGGAGAAAAAAGAGGGCGAAGGAAGAGGAAAAGAAGAAGAACCGTTCTTTCATTCCACTTATCATTGACAGATCAAGCTTGTTAAAGGTTTGTTAGATACTCATGTCACTATTTATTTGTGTCATGATAATGGAGTTGGCCATTGTAATGCTATCATGAAATTTTGATGCGTTGCCCGTTCTATGTATAACTCACTGTCATTATAATTGGATGGGTTAAAATAAATATATATATATATATATATATTTAACATCATTTTGAAAATTCTTCACAAGATAGTGGCTTTAACTTTTGGAACTAATTAATATTGTAGTCATTGATGCACCTTGATTCTACAATTAGGTTCACGTTTGATTTGATGATGATGATCCTTTACACAGTATAAAGCCAAACACTATCGGTCTGTAGCATTTGACATTTTGACATTCTTCCTATTTTCTCTCCCTGTCCTTTCGTTCTCGCCTTGTGTTCTTGTCTTGTTTTGCAAAGTGTGGTTTGATCTTGTCCATTTTCTTTTCCAAATAGCATCATCATTAGCTATTGATATAGTTATTTCCTGTTGCGGCAATGCTTCCCACTATTGGTATTTAAACATCTACCCATAATTAAAAACGCATGAGAAAAAATAGAGGTGGAGCCATTCCAATGCTAGGATGAACTCATTTTTTTTGAAAATAAAAAAGGTTTTCTTTTATGAAAATGAAAATGTTCTTATGCCGTGTGAGATTTTTAAAATCTTTGTAGACAAAAATATGATTAATAAACTGTGTGAGACTTTTAGAGTTTCTATAGGAATATTAATCGGATTTGTTTTTTGAGAATGAAGAAATTCTTTTATTTTAAAAAAAACACCTATTCGACATAAAAATATTTTTCTTGAATAAAGTTAAAATATTCAAGAAAAATATCTTTCTTCTATAAGTCATCAATAAAGTGACATGCATTTTTACCTTCAAATTATGTGAGATTTGATCTCTTTAAAGGATACGTAGGTCTTAAGGTTTTATTCTATGTTAAATCCAACTTGTAAATAACCGCTATTTTTTAATTTAATTTTTCTTCTTTTCTTCTTCTTCTTTTTTATTTATTAAGGGTAATTAAATTTTATTTAGGTCATATTAATTTTTTTTTAGTCAACTTAGGATAACCGTTCTCACAGATGGGTGATATGAGATGCCTAACACCTTTCCCATTCACAATTGACTTCCGAACCCTATTCTAATTCTGGTAGACCATTTTATTATTATTTTTTTAAAAAGGGTTTCTAAAATTATCCTTTTAAAATTTTAGTGACAACTCTTACATTTATTGATTTTTTTTTAGGGAGATCACGATCCGGCCACAACAGTATGGCGACTTCATTGGGAAATTTTAAAGAGTCAAGCCCATTTATCTTGATTATTCAAAATGATATGGCCTTTTTAATTACCTTTTCTTCTTCTTCTTCTTTTTAAGTTTTTTCCTTTTTTGTATATGATTCTCTTCTTTTGTTTTTATGTTCTCATTTATTAATTAGATTCTTTATTTTTTCTTATCTATTCTAATTTTGTGATCTGGTTAGCAGATGAGGGTGGGATAGAATCTAGGTTAATAGGCTGGTATGCTCTCCACACACATTGAGCACTTACATTATTTTTCTCATACTCAAGTCTGTGAGCACCCTTGGTGAGTGGAAGTTTCTAGCATTTTTCTTGTGGGGTTTATAAAACCCTCGGAGGTTGTTGTGAAGATTTCATCTTAGTTGTTACCTATTTAGCAAAGTTGATCTTTATTGAGTTCTCAGAGGGTTAATCTTGTCAAATGGGGTCTTCATCTTTATAATGTAGGCAACTGGGAGATTTTTTTTAGGAGATTAGAACAACCTTAAAATCATTGCACATGTTTAAAGGAATCTAGTGACCAATCTCACTGTTTAGTGCCTTTCTTAAGAATGATCACCTTAAGGTTTACTCCCTTATAGGACATTGGAGGGCATATTTTTCTTTCTTTCACACTCTTTTTTTATTGTCTTACATGCATGATTGAAAAAACTTTAGCAGCTAAGCAACTAGCCATTGCTTTACTTGAGTATATATCTTGCATCATTTCTCATATCGATATATCACAATGATGGTATTTGTATTAGATAACCTACCCTAATCTACATGTTTTCGACCCTAATAGACCATGAATTCATTGCACTCATCATAATAAAAATATCTTGATATGAGATGACCTTATAAGATTCATGTTGTGTCATTCCAACACTCTTAATCAATTAATTAGCATACTAATAGGTCCTAAAGCTTATTTTGGAATGTTTTTTTAAAATCATTTACAAAACATTAGCCGTGTAGTGGTCTGGAACATTAGTAGGTTAATGGGCACTTTACTCTCCCTATGAGTCAACGAGTCTCTAAAGGAGATGGGGTTTCTTTTTCTACAAAAAGAAAACCATATCAAAATTAGTTTCACCTAACAAGTACTCTAATTAATTGATTTATTTTAAAAAAACATTGGTCGTGTAGGAATTTGGATTCCTTAAAGTCTAATTGTTATTTCCTTATCCTTATGATACAACAAGTATATGGAGGAAAGAAAATTTTTTCATTACAAACGTATCTTTCTAACTTCCCTTCCTTTTTCTTAATAGGCCAGAGAATTATCGAGTAATTGTGAAGATTTGGCATAAGGGTAATGGCACAAGAGGAGGATCTGGATCATGCTTCTACTGGAAAAATGTATAAAGGAAAAAGATTCAAGTTGATTACACTGGTTGAGTCGCTTGAGAGTTTGGTATAATTAAGTCACTTCATTAAATGATCAATTAAGTTGGACTTCAAGAATAAATATGGAAACATCCTCGATCTGCTGCAAATACAAGTACACAATGAAGCTTTAATTGAATCGAGTCAGTATTAGGATGCCTCCTTAAGATGTTTCACCTTTTCAGACTTTCAAATAATGCCAAAAATTGAAGAATAACAGGGTTCAACTAATGAAATGGCCCACTCAAAAGGAAGTTTCAAGAGAGTATCCCTCTTAAAGAGTTATAGCTAAAGGTTAAAACTCTTACTTAACTTTTAGAAGACAAGGCAAATGAATTAGTCTCCTCAAAAGGCACATGCTACTGTAATGATCCAAAGTTTTGTGAATAAGATAAATTAAGAAAGAGGGGCTTTAGCAAAGTGGGAGATGCTTTACCCCATGTAAGCTAAAAAGACAAAGGAATGGATGAAGAGATGCAAAGATTTAATCAACTTCGCTAATGCCAAGATCTAGAATTCACTGAAACATTCAAGTGTGTAGAAAGGCATTGTGGTCCCCTTGGATCAACCAGTTGAGATCACTGAATTTATTGATTTATGTAATCAAATTGTAGAAGAGCTTAAGAAGTTGACAAAATTGATATTGTAATGACATTTCCATTAAAAGTCTTTCTTGCTATAAATTCTACTAATTTGGATTGAGATGGGATTTGAGGTCCTTCTTGTCTAATAGTCAACTCAAGATTTCTCTGTGGAATAATGAATTCTTAAAGGAGTCTGGAGGACACTTGGACTAGAGACCCTTATGCCAACACAATACTGGATAATTCATCTTGTCAAGGAAAAAGGAAAATACTTGGAAATATATGCCATATTAACAGGTGATGCCATGATTCCTCAACCTAAAAAGAAATAACCTAATCAGTTACCCTTAACTAGAAATAAAAAAAGGACTTAAGGGTTAAAAAAGGAAGAAAACTTTATCAAAATGAAAGCTTAGCTTTGACTGTGTGAGGGTACTAATCCTTTATAGATTAAAGGTTATTTCCATTTTCCTATGACCCAATAAGTGCCTAGAGGAGATAATATTTTCTTTCAAATGTTCAAATATAAAATAGTTAACCTAAACAACAACTAACTTATCATCACCAACTCCTTGGCAACTTGCATTAACCATGTGAGAATTATGATTTTTCATATGTTAATGTCATTTCTATTTCCTTATGACACAATATGTGTATAGAGGAAATGAGAAATCTCTTTCCAATTTCTCTTATTTCGAAGAGTTGGTTTTGATTCATTCAATAAAAGAAACAAAAAATTCATGCATTAAGAACTTATTTAACTAAACCCCATTCGTATTATTCATGTGGGGATATTGATCCCTCATAGAATAAATGCCCACTTCTACTTTTCTGTGATGCAATAAGCACCTGCAAAGAGTGAAGCATTGGCTTTCTCTTTGAACAATAAAGAAGCCCCAAACAAATTTATATATACTCACTATTGGTGCCCTAGTATAATAGCTTTTATGGATAATGCTTG